ACTTTGTCTTGCAAGGAAAAAAGGAACAGACAAACAGCACCTGCAAGGCTGCTTTCTATCTCTGAGGATTGTTTTAATTCCTCCCTATGAATTCCCAGGCCACTTTCCCAGGCAAGACTGAGAAAGCTATGTGGCCACAGGCACCGTGCTCCCTCCATCAGAGTTAGCATCCATAAAAAACAACAACAGCAAGTCTGTATATAGGATTTATTTAAGGGTGGAATACTGGGAAACCTGCCCAAGACAGATAAGGAGCAGCCACATCTCTTGAACATGTTAAGATTTATAAGGTTTCAGGCATCTTCTTGACTACTCATGAAAATGCATCAGTTTTACCTGTAAGGATATGATGTGAAGTGAAGGTATAAACCCTACATAGTTTTAGAAACATTTATTTTCCAGAGGTTTTCTTGGTGTGAGAGACTAGAGTATATTTACAGATTTTGCAGGAATGGATAAGACATTTCTTTTTCCCTTCCCTTCTTTCTTACTCCCCCACCCATAATACCCAGTGTTACACACAAAAAGATTTTGTGGCAGAGTCCTTGGCATTTTTTCACCTTTATGATTATTAGAAATGTTCTAGAAATTCCAGTAGAGGAATGATCTACATAATGCTTTAATTTACTATAAAACCTTCAGAGTACGTAGGTGAGTGGATGATATATTTGAAGTGGTAGAAAAGCTGTTTGCGGACTGCATTCTTTCATGTCCCCAAGTTAACTGCTTGTGATGGGAAGGAAAGAAAAAAAGGTTTTCCCTCTATTTGAGACTGTAACTTTTCCAGACCTGTGATGCGTTTTGAGGCTAACAAGAGCTTTCATTTGCAGACTAGACTGTGTTGAAGCAAGAGCTCTGTGACATTCATTGTGCTCTCGATGGCGAGTTGTTGCAAGTCTGACAAGTAACAAATTTGACACATGTAAATTTCTTTCAGTGATTTTTTTTTTTTTTTTTTTTTTTTTTTTTTTTTTTTTTTTGTAATGCTATGTCCTGCTATCCTGAAAGTACTGAAAAGGAGGGAATTGAAGGTAGCCTCAAACCACCACTGTGAATGAAGATGTAAATAGAAGTATTCATAGCTGACATGAAGATTTGCAGCTCTGTGCTTTGCATAATATATTTACAGGAGTGTGTACTTGTATGTACCGGTCTAGATGCATGTTAAACTGGTGCATGTTAAACTGCACATAACTCAAAATCTTCCTTCCATCTCCAAGGGGTACTGATACAAATAATTAATAGTGTTAATATGGGCATACTCTTCCTTTGACTGCTGATAAAAAAAAAAAAATTTAAAAATATAAAAATGAAGGTCTTTAAAATTATAGTTAGTTGAGTAAACCTGTTCTGTAGTAATGCTAAATAGTTGGGGTTTTTAATTGCAGCATCCTCTGTCATTTTTCCGTAAGGAGAGGTTTGTTTTTTTTTTCTGTTACAAAGTAATTCAAGACTACATTTGATCGAATAAAGAAAAGTATTTTTTCTTTAAGAATAAGTGATGTGATTGTGTTGTAATTTGGATTTTGGTGTGGTTTTTCCCTCTAATTTATTTATAAATTGCATGTTAGTCACATCACAGGACTCACTCCTGTTAAGTTCCTTCATTACTGAGGGAAACAAATCATATGCTTAGTGATAAGTAGTGGCTCTTGCATGTGTTTGAGGAAGCTGCTACCCTGAATGTCACATTTTAGTGAACCTGTAACATAGTATATTCCCTCCTTCCAATGTAAATTACGTTCTTCTGATGTTTTGGAGGTTCTTTCTCTCTCTCTTTCTCTCTCTCTTTCTCTCTCTCTCTCTTTTTCTTTCTTTCTCTCTTTCTCTTTCTTTCTCTCTTTCTCTCTTTCTTTCTTTCTCTCTCTTTCTCTCTTTCTTTCTTTCTCTCTCTCTCTCTCTCTCTCTCTCTCTTTTTCTCTTTCTCTTCCTTCTTTCATCTTAGTTTAGGCAGTTTTTTGGTTGAAGAAGCAGGCATATGGTTCAAAGCTGTTATAACAAGCTGACAAACCTAAGTGCTTATTCTGTGTTACTACTGTTTGCTGGAATGTTTTGGGTACTAGTTAAGTTAAATTCCTAATTTTATCAATCTTCTGAAAGCCTAAGGATGTTTAATGGTTGCACATTACATTTTGGATTTCTGAAGACCTCAGACTTTGAATCTTCCTGTCTTTGAAACCTTTGCAGTAGATGAAAAATAAATTAATAGTTTTGCTGAACTGCACCTAAAACTGCTTGTTTTCCAAGGCTATATTTGTCATGCCACAAAGTGTGAATGGCTGAAACACTATTCATAGGCTAGTGTTTTCTGCCCAGGATGACTCCAGGATAACTCCAGTCCACTACTCTGAGGAAAGAAGCTGACAGCAGATTCTGTTCCCTGAATATGAAGAGTTAAGGCAAAAGAATATCAGGTTATTTGTCTTGCAGAAATTGTGACTTCCAGCTGCTGATAGCTTATTGATGCCAAGAATTATTTTTCAAGTGCATTTGCCAGAAAAATGGTTTGAAATGGCACCCTAAGGTACATGCTCTATCAGTCTTTTTTCCTTGTCTGCTTTGTGCAATTATTTTTATTCTTAAACCTCAGGTGATAGCCTCAGAATTGAAGTGTAAGCAATTTCAAGGCATGTCATTAGCGTAATGGAAGATCCCAAAGAAAACACCAAGTTTCATGGGGCACTGTTTAAGTTGGTTCTTTTGACTATGCCATGGTGGCTGACCAGGGTGGGAGAGAAAAGGATTGCTTTACTTTGGTGGTGACTCTTTTGGGACAGCTGACATGGAGGAACAAAGTTGAGCTGCTAAAGAGCCTGAACCAAAAAGACCAGACCATAAGGTCAGCAAATCAGCATTCTCCTTTTCTGGCTTCAATGTCCCATGTAGGGATCCATGAGCTGCTTTCTTCCAATTGCCTAGATACAAGAGGTCAAATGTTCTGCAGTTCACCACAGTTTTTCTTTTTTGAGTGAGTATGATTACAAAGATAAGACTCAGATTCTAGCAGTGACATGTGATTGAAAAGTAGCTGACTGATGCTTAGAGCAAATTAGAGAGATGTTATGTTGCTAGGAAAAAAAAATACGTTCAAAGAACTGATCATGCTCTTGGTCTTTAAGTTCATCAAAAATGATTCTGTACTAGTTTTTAAAGTAATGTGATACTTCAGATGCCTGTGACACTGCTGTGTGTGGCTATGTAAATAGTGTCCCTCTGGCAGCTTGCTCTACTTGGTTCTGAAGTAGACAGCTGTTCAGAAAGACTGGGGCACCTAACATGCTACAAAATTCTTTACAAGTACAGTTGACAGATATTCGTGTGCTACAAAAACATAGAATTATCTTTCAGTCCTCTTCTGTATATATAATGCCAATCTTCAGATCTTGATGATAAAATAATAAAACATCCGTCCTGTTTGTGCATTGTTATTTTGGGTCTGGTTAAATTAACAGAGAGATTAAGTAAGGTCTTGACTAGGTCCAGTGACCATTTACCTTTAAGTAGTCAACTCTGTAGGTCTCTTGTAGAAAAAAAAAAATATTAGACATGACTTAAGTATTCTCTGTAGGAAAAAGTGTGTGTATTTGTGTGTTGACAGCTTGTGCTGGGTGCAGATACAGAAACAAAGTGGTCAGGGTTCCAGTGTGACTAATAAAAAGACAAGACTAACTAACTCCGTTAGATGAGATTTGAATTCGCTTGAGTTGCATACCTAAATTTGATGGAGCAAATGTTTATTTTTTCCTTCACCTTTGTTTAGTGACTTTCTTTTTTGTTGCACAATGTGTAAATTAATATTTTAAGTATTGTATCAACGTTATGGTCATGATGTTGCATTAAATCTCATTATGTTGCTCAGAAATTTTGTGTCATTTTGTTTCACTGAAAAGTAGGATTTTATTGTTTTCAGCTCTTAGTTCTTGTGTTTATATGGAAGTTCACTTCTCCCTGTTTCAAGATGAGAAATGTGCCTATTAAAGGTACCTTCCGCACATTTCTGCAAGTCACTGTCTGGCAGACGTGTCAAGTTTTCTACTAGACTATTGCTGCTGCTGTTCACTGTTTAGTGTTTGTCCCCATGAGTGTAGTGCCAGATCCAGACATACAAAGAATAGCCCATATCCAAATCATAGTTTAGATAGTTTGACAGCTGTCAAATACAATTTTTTTTTTCCTACCTCATTGCTACAACATATGCTGCTCTCCAGGGGAGACAAAAGCTTTCTGTTGATAACCTTAGTGCTTGGCTTCTGTTGAGATGGCTGAGTGCTGCTCAACTGTGTCCTAAAAATTACTGTGGCATATAAGCCTATACAGTCACTCATGTGTCTGCTGTTGGGCTCTTCCAGAATCCTTAGTGTGGTTGACAGAGCAAAAGTAGTTGAACTGAATGCCTTTGCAGCATGTTGTCACCATAGCTCCTCATTCACTGTTCAACTCACTATTGTATCATCATTCTCCTCATTAAGTATCTAATTACTTTAATAGGCTTTCCTGACACCTTTTTTCCCCAATTATGAAGTGGCTGCCTGATGGTTTGGAGATGAACTAGAAGACCTTATCAGAAATGAGCAACTGCCATGACAGAAGCTGCAGGTTATGACAAGGAGCTGCAGGGCAAAGTGAAAAAGAATAGGTAAAGATTTAGGTATTAGTGCCAAGATATTCCAGTGAGAAGGTAGAGGATTAGGCTGTGTGATGCTGTAAGCATGGTAGTAATGCCAGTACTCATTAATAGAGCACAAGCTTTAATGGAAGAAAGCTGCATTAAGTCAACTTCCTGCCTTATTTAAACAATGTTTATTTGACACTGGTGTGTATGTGTATGTTGGATTTTTATTGCTTTTTTTTTTTTCCTTTTTATTCTTTTAATGATGATTAAGAGATAAAGTTTAGTTAATTGTTTTGATAATTTTATGTAGATGGTTTATTTTTGCTTAGAAGTGTTACATTTGTTAAACTATTCTTGTTTTAATTAGTTCTCATTATTGTCTTGAAAGGAGCTGACAATATCAGGAAATACTGGAGTCGTTACTACCAAGGATCCCAAGGGGTAATATTTGTACTAGACAGCGCCTCCTCTGAAGATGATCTAGAAACTGCTAGGAACGAGCTACATTCTGCTCTCCAGCACCCACAGTTATGTACTTTGCCATTTTTAATATTGGCCAATCACCAAGACAAGCCAGCAGCTCGCTCAGTACAAGAGGTATGTTAATGTGGCAGCTTCTTGCCTGTTTGTATTTACTATCTGCACACCGCTGATCCACTGTCACTTATTACCCTGACATCCTGGTTAAGGACTGGCCTCAGTTTCTACTTTACTGTAAGTACGCAGACCAGGAACAGTCCCAATCCCTAACAACTTAGTCCACTGTACTCTACACAGGCTTAGTTCTTCTGGAAAACAGACAAGTAATACTTGGATACAAACAGATCTTCTGCTTTCACCATATTTTGCTTAAGGGAGAAAAGATGTTTTTAAAACTACTCTTATGAAAAGCTGCTGGGACAGTGATTTTTTTGTTTCGCTTGAGTTTTTATTTGCTCTTAGTTTTAATTTTGCACTGTTCCATTACTCCATTCTTTTCAACTGCTTAAAGCAATGCATTGTAGCCATAGGTTGTCTTTTTTATGTAAAAGCTTTTTTTCTAAACTGCTGTGTACTGATGTGAGGTCAGAGTTGCAATTCCTGTTCTGAAGTCCTTAACTGGTTCTGATCTTCCTGTTCCAAGGAGTAATGTTTTTGTTTATAATTTATCTATCACACAGTAAATCATGTAATTGTTCTATTCAGTGTACCTTCTGCCCTTCAATTTCTGAGAAATTTGTCTTGTCTACATTCCTATCATGTCAAATACATTTGAGGAAATGCTGAAAATTACTTATGAAATTGTAGGAAGAAGTTAAAATCTGATTGTGTCATTCTGTTCATAAATGTCATTTAAAGGACTCCTCCTCTTGAAATCTGTTTGTTCTGTGAGTGCAGCAGAGTGAAAACTGTTCAGCACCTTACTGTATTGCTGCTTTGTATTTAAACTGATTCTTTCTTTGATTTGCTTTTTCTGAAATATGAGGTTTTAGACTTTCATCTCAGAACAAACTGATCTGTAGGAGAACTGCTCTTAGTACAGTATAGTTGGAACATACAGCCTTTGCTTCTTTATTGCTACTTATGTCTCCTGAGTCAAAAGAAATTAAGTTTATTATATGTTAGGAAGTGGTATAAATGTGGCTGGAGCATAACAGTATTTTTAGGAAGAGATTGTGACAGCTATGTAAACTACACTGTAAAGTATTCTTTAAAATTGTTGGTCCTTTTCTCTGAAAACTCATTCTTAGGAAAAAGGAAAAAAAAATGGAATTTGGATTTAATATACCAAGTTACATAAAAAAGTAAACAAAAATTATGCAGGGATAGAAGCTACAAGTTCTAGATCTTGTTCATATAAAAAAAACCCCTTAGACTTAGAAATAATTAATATTTGAAGGAAATGTAATATGGATTTTGATATGTAAGTTTAATAAATTGGCCTAGTTTATTATACAGCATAAAAACAAAGCATGCAGTCCTAAACTTCACACTTAAAAAATTACAGTACCCTGGGACAAAACATTTGATTTTATCATCCAAATGTAGTCTTTGTGCCTTGGCTTTAACTTTTTCATGGGGCAATTCACAGATCAGAGAAATTTCATAGATCACATTTTTCATCAATAGAAGGGCTGTTTCTTACATGATTTAAGTATTTCTTATTTTACTATATTTTTCATTTTTAAAGTGGTCAAATTTGGTTCAATATTAAATGAAGTTTTTGATAGCTGATAGAATTTTCAAAATGTTCTTTGTTCAGTTTCATATTAATAATGAATGCAATGCCAGTTGGTTTGCTTTACAGCAAATTATACTTGTAACTCTCTCATTTTGCAGCTGAGCCAGTGTGGATAGACTTTTGGGCCTGAACTGCATTTTTTGTGTATTTAGAGTTAGCATTTCTTTTCTTTTATTGGCACTACCCTTGTTTTCACCTCATTCTTCATTACCAGTTGCTTGAAATCTCAGTAGGGTAGTAGATCTCTATATGCTTACAATAGCATTTAAATGGGTTTATATTGTGTACTTTCAAAAAAAAAAATCTTAGAGTTTATTATTGTAACAAGACAAGTCTTGATTGCTAATGTGAGTGTGTATGAGATGCAGAATACAAAAGTTTTATTAAATATGCACAGCATGTGCATATTTTCAGGAAAAAAACCCACTATATCAAGAGCTCAGTGAATTTTGAAGTTTTTTAATTAAGAGTAGTGGAAAGCAAATTAAAGAAAAAAGAAAAAAAGGGAAAAGGGAAAAAAAAAGAGAGAGAAAAGAATGTCATGAAGTTGTTACATTGTCCCTGAAAAAACTGATTATCTGTGTTTGCTGTATTTGCAAAATAGAAGCCTTCTTTGGTCATTTTTACCAGTGTTGAAATGGTAATTTCTTGCTTTCCTAAAGGCTTTGCTGTGCTATTGTCCTCATTGAGATGTGGAATAGAAACAAAATGATGAATCGTAAGACCATTGCTTATATAAAACAAACATATTAAAATATGTAACAAATGTAATATGTTGAGCATTGAGAGTCGAATTAGACAGTTTTGCAAAACTAAGTCCATTAATTATAGGTATTTTCTTAATTTTTTCATGTGTCAGAAGACAGATTAATCACAGTTGAAATTTAAAAATTTGTATGCATTCTTTTAGGCAACAAATACATTCTTTAATGGATATGAAAGGACTCCTTGGAGTATAATTAAGGAAAATGTCTGAGTTGAGTGGTGCATAATGGGAAATGTAGAAAAATATTTATCTACAACAAAAATTCTTCACAAAACTGTGCAAGTGCCAAGCAGTTTCTGCAACAGATGTTAGTTATATTTTTTGTTGGGAAGTGCAGTTGCTTCAGTTTTTCAAAATGTTGTACTTTATTTAATGTGTTTTTTTCCATGCATTACTTAGGTACAAATTATAGAATCTAGAATCTAGCACATAGAATCTACGTGCTGCATGTAATAAGCAATGTCATGATTAGTTCAGTTCACAGCTATAATAAATACTTGAAAAAATATCCAAATAATTTATTTAATTCATGACATGCAATTTAACCTAATTCATATTACAGCATATACTTCATATTACTGAAGTGACCAGGGAAAATTGCAGGGGAAACTGAGCTGAAATGCTAATCAGTAAATGTTATTATTTTTTTTCCTAAGTTCTATTGCTGGTTAGCTGTTTCCTAGTTAGATTTTGATTTTAGAATTAAATCAAAAAAGTAAACTTGTCATGGAATTTCACTGTAGAAACTATAAATGAAGATGTCCCTCATATTTCTTTTATGTAGACTTCTATGGTGATTATTTTATCTTCCCATGTCAATGATATTTGTAATTTGTTTTGGTTTTCCTGTGACAATAGCACTTATTGACATGTTTTCAAATATCTGCTAAGTGATTTCAACTGAGCCATGCTGAAATAAAGATTGCATTATTATCCAGGCTGTAAAACTGATAGAATTGTTTTTGTTTCAATAGGTTTGCTCCAGAATAACCCTATTTTAGACTAAAATTACAGTAATGAAGAATTAATCATATGTAAGTCAGTTCTGACTGTCATTTTGGAAACCTTATGAAACAGCAAATAAAAACTTTTACAAATGAAAAATAAATGTAGTTACTCAGCATGTGAGGGAAGATGGTGGCATATCAGTTTGGCCATGGCTTCCAAAATACAGGGTGCAGTTCCAAAACAGTTTACCTAATTATATGTTTTTTTAAGTAAGTTTCTTCCTGACAGAATGTGCTTTTGCATTTCCACACAAAAGTACTTTTGATTATTGAAACTGGTTTTGATTAATCAGATTTCTCTCACAGACTTAAAATATTGCAAGAGAGTAATGGTAATAAAAGTGCTTCAAATTGCTTTAAAAGGGAACAGGCATTACTGTGATTATCAACTTTTTAATTTTTGTTTTGGGATGTCTTGACTTTGTGTATGAGTATCAAAAGCTGGATATTGCAGTGGATTCTTGTGTGTTGAACCAGTGTGCAAAGAGCCACTGTTCTCCCAGGTCAGAGCAATATTCAGGAGCTGCATGTGTTGGAAGTTGTCTGTAGCAGTTGTATTTTAGGGGCAGGCTATTCTGGATGCTCATCTGAATCTGTTCAGGACTCCTTGAAGCCATATAGGACTGGCCAAAGGAGGAACCAAGTTGAATTAATTTTTCTTGTTCACTGGTGAAGCAGCTACTTTTTTGGCAGTGTGCTGACTTTGGGATGTTTCTATTTTTATATTTAGGGCTCTTTATAAAGTTGTAGGTGCATTACATGATCATTGTAGGTCCACTCCATTTGAACTATTTTATTCCAAGACCATATATGTGAAGAAATTCATAGAGTATAACCTGGTTGTAGGTTTTTCTTCAGTTATCCAAAAATTCAACTAATAAATTTCTTTCCTGTATTTAAATTTGTGACTTCTAATAACAGAAGAAATCACTAAAGATCTATTCTAAATTCCCATTTTAAAAAATGCTAAAACTTTTTAATGTAGACTTACTAGTTAACCGTAAAATCAACCTATTAACAGTCAATTTGAAGACTATGCTGGTTTAAATATAGTTGTCAGGAAAAGAATAATGTAGAAAACTTGCTTGTAGAAAATGTAAAAAACAAGTGCTGTTTTTTTTTTTCTTGCATACAAGACCTTACTTTAAAGTTGAATTGATGAAGGTGTCAAACTCCGTAGGAGAGTCATGTTGATTTTCCTTTTTTCCTTTGATAGAGCAAGATTTAAAAAAATCTTTTAAGTGCAAAACCAATGTTTTCAAAAGTGAGTTTGAAAGGTTTGTTGCATAGTAACATAGATTGTGATGCATTTATCTAGTTGAGAATATATGGATTTTGAATCACTATGTTTAATATGGTTTTCTGCTAGCAGATTAGTGGAAGGTGACTGTCCTTATGAAAAGAGCCATCTTAGGGCTGTGAGGGCTGTTACCTCTTACTCTGCCATTTTCTTCTCTGTTGTTTCTGTCTAGAAATAATTTTGTAAATTAACAATGTCTTCTTGAAGCCTTAAATATCTTAAAGCTAAATAACCTTTTCAGGAGAATGCTCAGGTTTGCCAGCAGCTGTGGAGGCTCTTACTGGTGGTGGGGATCTGGAGCGC